TTCTTCTTTGCTCCTGGGTATTAAATAAACTAACTAAGTACATAGTTATTATGAGCAAGAGTGCCTCTACCAAAATTGTGAATTTTATGGCCCCAGGGTCAGGGGTTCTGGTGTTAGGGCGGGGCTCTATTGATTATATAGTGAAAAAACCTGAATTCTTTGAAAATCTTCTTCTCTGCTCCTGGGTATTAAATAAACTAACTAAGTACATAGTTATGATGAGCAAGAGTGCCTCTACCAAAATTGTGAATTTTATGGCCCCAGGGTCAGGGGTTCTGGTGTTAGGGCGGGGCTCTATTGATTATATAGAGAAAATACATGAATTCTTTGAAAATCTTCTTCTTTGCTCCTGGGTATTAAATAAACTAACTAAGTACATAGTTATGATGAGCAAGAGTGCCTCTACCAAAATTGTGAATTTCATGGCCCCAAGGTCAGGGGTTTTTGTGTTAGGGCGGGGCTCTATTGATTATTTAGAGAAAATACATGAATTCTTTGAAAATCTTCTTTGCTCCTGGGTATTAAATAAACTAACTAAGTACATAGTTGTGATGAGCAAGAGTGCCTCTACCAAATTTGTGAATTTTATGGCCCCAGGGTCAGGGGTTCTGGTGTTAGGGTGGGGCTCTATTGATTATATAGAGCAAATACATGAATTCTTTGAAAATCTTCTTCTTTGCTCCTGGGTATTAAATAAGCTAACTAAGTACATAGTTATGATGAGCAAGAGTGCCTCTACCAAAATTGTGAATGTTTTGGCCCCAAGGTCAGGGGTTCTTGTGTTAGGACAGGTCTCTATTGATTATTTAGAGAAAATACATGAATTCTTTGAAAATCTTCTTCTTTGCTCCTGGGTATTTAATAAACTAACTAAGTACATAGTTATGATGAGCAAGAGTGCCTCTACCAAAATTGTGAATTTTATGGCCCCAGGGTCAGGGGTTCTTGTGTTAGGGCAGGGCTCTATTGATTATACAGTGAAAATACATGAATTCTTTGAAAATCTTCTTCTCTGCTCCTAGATTTTATATAAACTAACTAAGTACATAGTTATGATAAGCAAGAGTGCCTCTACCAAAATTGTGAATATTACGGCCCCAGGGTCAGGAGTTCTGGTGTTAGGGGGGGCTATATTGATTATACATGTATAGTGAAAAAAAACATTAAATCTTTGAATTTTCTTCTTTGCACCTAGGTTTTAAGCAGATGAACTACCTATATAGTTATGAGCAAGGGCCCTAATCTTCAAGAATTGTAAATTTCAAGGCCCCACGGTCAGTTGTACCATAGAGGGGGTGGGGGCTGTACTTATATACTGAAAATGAATGAATTGTTTGAAATGTGCTCCTTTGTATTAATCAAATATTTTTGAAAAGCATGAATTCCTTTCCAAAAATTGTACAATGTGTGGATCTAGGCCTAAGAGTCCAGGGTTCATGTGTGGTAGCGGCACTACTCATTATTGCTGAATATTACTGATTTGTTGAAATGCATTTTTTGTTCCCCTACCCTGCCTATGGGTATTAAGTAACCAAACTAAGGAACTGCTAAGTGTATAGTTATGATGACCAAATTGTAAATGCTATAGCATCTGGCTTAAAACATGGATCAAATTCAATCACTGGAAAGTTGTTGAATAATGCTCAGGTGACCTATAAGGCCCATGGGCCTCTTGTCTTAATAGCAAACCATGAGACATACTTTGGACTAAAAATCTGTACAAAATACGTCGAAATTGTAAGAGTAAACAGGTCTGGTATTTATTCTGGGATATATACTTTATCTGAAATTTTAAAAGTGATAAATTATTACACGTTTTCTTTCGTAGCACTGCTAAGCGTCAGTTAGAGGATGAATTAGCCATGTCACGTCAACAGCTGTCTCAGTACCAATCACAATTACAGGCCATGTCAGCTGTCTCTGTACCCTCAGTCATGGAGATCAGGTACGTTTTCTTTTTTTTTTTTCCGAAATTTGAGTGAACTGTTTTTGCGTTTCTAATACATGTACATGTAATACGACTGATTTTTTTGTAGTCAAACAAATGAAGTTTCACGTATTACAACATTGGAAGATGTAAGTTTATATGTAAATTGTACTGTATACATGGTTATTTTCGCGCTTTCACACTTGCAAACAATATTGCCCCATTTTTAATTTGCTCATTAAAAGTTTTATTAGCTCACCTGAGCTGAAAGCTCAAGTGAGCTTTTCTGATCACATTTTGTCCGGCGTCCGTCTGTCCGTCCGTCTGTCTGTAAACTTTTCACATTTTCGACTTCTTCTCAAGAACCGGTGGGCCAATTTCAACCAAACTTGCCACAAAGTATCCTTGGGTGAAGGGGATTCAAGTTTGTTCAAATGAAGGGCCATGCCCTCATTCAAGGGGAGATAATTAGGAATTAATGAAAATTTGGTGGCATATTTTAAAAATCTTCTTCTCAAGAACCACGGTGCCAGGAAAGATGAAACTTATGGGGAAAGAACTTAAGGTAGGGTAGATTCAAGTTTGTTCAAATCATTACCCCCAGGGGTAGGGTGGGGCCAAAATGGCCGACCTAAGATTTACATAGAAATATATAGGAAAATTCTTTAAAAATCTTCTTCTCAAGAATGACAAAGCCATAATTCATCATATTTATATGGAAGCATGTTCTGGTAGTGTAGATTCAAGTTTGTTCAAATCATGACCCCCGGGGGTAGGGCGGGGCCAAAATGGCCAACCAAACTTTTACATAGAAATACATGTATATAGGAAAATTCCGTAAAAATCTTCTTCTCAAGAATGACAAAGCCATAATTCATCATATTTATATGGAAGCATGTTCTGGTAGTGTAGATTCAAGTTTGTTCAAATCATGACCACCCGGGGTAGGGCGGGGCCAAAATGGCCGACCAAAGTTTTACATAGAAATATATAGGAAAATTCTTTAAAAATCTTCTTCTCAAGAATGACAAAGCCATAATTCATCATATTTATATGGAAGCATGTTCAGGTAGTGTAGATTCAAGTTTGTTCAAATCATAACCCCCGGGGGTAGGGCGGGGCCAAAATGGCCGACCAAAGTTTTACATAGAAATATATAGGAAAATTCTTTAAAAATCTTCTTCTCAAGAATGACAAAGCCATAATTCATCATATATATATATATGGAAGCATGCTCAGGTAGTGTAGTTTCAAGTTTGTTCAAATCATGACCCCCGGGGTAGGGCGGGGCCAAAATGGCCGACCAAAGTTTTATGTCGAAATACATGTATATAGGAAAATTCTTTTAAAAAATCTTCTTCTTAAGAATGACAAAGCCATAATTCATCATATTTATATGGAAGCATGCTCAAGTAGTGTAGATTTAAATTTGTTCAAATCATGACCCCCAGGGGTAGGGCGGGGCCAAAATGGCCGAACAAAGTTTTTAAAGATATATATATAGGAAAATTCTTTAAAATCATTTTCTAAAAAATAGCAAATCCATGATTGGTCATGGGACTACTTTTGGATTCAAACTTTTCAATAAAAAGCCATTTTCTACTTTTTCCTACCCTTATTGCTCAGGTGAGCGATGTGGCCCATGGGCCTCTTGTTTTAGAAATTATACTGTTTTCCTTGAATTCACCCCATTTTAAATTCGCCCATATGAGAGTAGGGCGAAATGGGAGAGAAAATTTCCCTGTACACAGTATTTGTATACTCTTAATGAATTTGAAAGTTCGATTCTATTCATGTATTTAGAGGTTATAGTTTTTATGACACAAATTCTTCCTACAGGAGTTAAAGATGAAATCAGAGAAGATTGTTGAATTACAGCAGAAAATGGTAATTTCTTGACATAAATCATTGCTTATACATGTAGGTTTACAGATTTTACTTGTATTTATATTAAACACAGTCTTCAACTTTTACTTATTATTTTTCCCTCCAAGATGGAGATGTCAATGACTGCAAGCACAAGAAATATTGCTGAAGACAAAGTATCTATTACTAGGTAAGTAAACTAAGTATACATATTTTCAACAGAAATATTCTTCACTCCTGAATCACAAATTGACAGGCATTTCAATTTCCGACAGACAGAAAAACTTCAAATATATATGTATTAATATAGGAGTTTGTCATGGACTTCTATCCAAACTTTGTGTGACACTATTCTTTCCCTCAATTTAATGCAATTCCTCTTTATTTTCAGCTGTAATGTTGGAGATCTGGCCCTGTTCTGTCTAGATGACAGACATGACCAGTATGTTGTGTTCACCATTGGAAACACTCTTCACTTTCTTCACACAGACTGCCAGGAAACTCTGGGTCTTAGACCAAGTAAGTCAAAGATATATGTGTCTGTATATATTTGCACCATTTGTTAAAATAATCTCTTGATAAATTAGGTTAATAATTTGCTAACAATGATGCAACTTTGTTTACAGATCCCGGTGAAACAAAGAAATCATGGGTACTAGCAGAAATTACAGAGAAGGAGTATTGTCAGGCTAAAAAGGTAAAACATATAGAATTTCTTAGAATTCTATTAACAGAAATGTCTCCATCTGTCTCAAGTACCTTAAGACTAATATTGTGGAGAATTAGAGCTTCAAATGTTTGATTAAATTCAAAATGTTTATTTTTCTCAGCCCCAGAACAGATTTAAGGTACCTGTTGGGACCAAGTTCTACAGAGTGAAGGCTAAGCCTTGGAAACCTGACAGTGGGGCCAAGGGGATCCCACCAGCAGCCGACACCTGATGATTCATATATCATGTAGACATTCATCTCATCAATAACACTGGACTATACCATGCATTATTCATCTCATCCAACACTGGACTACAACATGAATTATTCATCTCATCAACAATACTGGAGAATACCAAGGCTTGAAGACTTGACAGTGGGGCAAAGGAGAATCCCACCAGCAGCCAACACTAAATATACCATGCAGACATTTCTCATCAATAATCCTGGACTATACCATGAAACATTCGTATCATCAACAATACCGGACTATACCATGAAACATTTATGTATAATTTATTTACTATAATAGTAATTATAAACAGTATCAACAACAAACAATACATGTGTGTACTGAAGTGTATTACATAATATCACAAAATTTGATGCCTATCTGTCAATACATCACAGGCATATATAGACCCAAAAGGAGTGTTTTTAAGCTTTTTAAAAGTAGAGATTACAAAATGGTTTGTTTAAAAACTATATGGGTCTTTTTAACTTTCATTTTGTGTGAATAACAGAATGTTGTCTGTGGCAGTGTGATGCTTTCAAGAGATTTCATACTAAATATAAATATATCACAGTAAAGCTTTCTATGCTTCATTCAGCTAGTACTAGTTATTACATAATATATGAACTTCAAAACACTAATTACACATTTAAATAAAATACAAGTTTTTCCAATTCATATTTCTTCCAATTATTTATATATATTACATGTAATACCTGTACATATGTATAAATATTTTGTTTTGCAGAAACAGTAATCATAGCCAACTTATAATTGTGATATACAATTTACAATGATTATGATTTTTCAGATTTACAGACTCTCATGCAAGAGGATATTTGCATAATGTGTTGTTACAGAATATAAATAAAACTATAAAATCCATTTTTTGTGTTGATCACTTGCTAGGTATCCAACAGAAGGGACCTCTGAAGACAGTGCTTTATGTTGTCTAATTCTTCTTGTTGCTAGGAAAAAAAAATCATTTACAGTAATCAATGAAACAGCTATCATGGTTAAAGTTCTCTATAATTCGGGTCATTCAAAGGCACCATTCCCAATTGAATGAGCTAATTTTCCCTATTTGTCACTTCCCCAAATATAAAAAAAAACATTTTAGTAAAATATGTAGTTACTAAACTTGTTATTCATAGTTGATAACAGCCACCAGAAACTCTGTATATGAATTAAATGGATATTGTCTAGTTATGATTGTCCTAAAATTCTCCAAAAGTTAGCCAATTTTCCTAATGTTTGTGCTCATATTGACTTTTATCCTGCAACTACCCCCTGCATTGACCTAATAAAGGTAACCTTATAAACCAAAGCTTTATCCGGTCACTGCCCTAATAAAGCCTCGTGCATGTATTCCGACGTTCAAATAGCATTGTGACGTCACATATACTGCAGTGTTTATGCCATGGCGTCATGGTTTCAACTGCAGAGATGTGGCTAAATCTGTCGAAAATAGCTAGTTTTGGACGTTCAAATGGTAAAAATATGTTGCAGGATAAACAAAATACATGATAACTGTCTTGAAATATAAGCGATATTTGGGCTCGGGTCGAAAACGTAAGAGGGCTCAGCAAGCCTCGCCCTCTATCACGTTTTCTTACCCTCGCCCAAACATCGCTTATATTTCAAGACAGTAACCATGTATTTTATATGAACTAAACTTTAATGACAAATGTTTAAAGAAGATTCAAAGAAAATTTAGAAGTTTAAAAGTTTACAAAATGAACTGCAAAGGATAAAAACAGTTCAAAGATCACCTGAATGACTCAGGTAAACTTAAAATATATACTGTAACTCTTACATTTTTGGATATCAATTTTGTCTTCAGTGTATTCAGCTCTTTTTTAATGGAATTCTTGACTTTAAACTGTAAAAATGGAAAACTTGTTAATCATTATTCTAAATCATGATATCTAAAAGTCGAGAAAGAAGGACACTGGGATAATCTGTCATTTGAAATCTATATCTTTAAAATCTACAAAAAGGGGAAAGGAGGGTATAGGGATAACCAGTCTTTGAAATCAACTAGAACTGTCCAATAGGTACAAATACCCCATGCTAGGTTTTTCAGAGAAGGTGCCAAGTCACTAAATACTAGTATTGGTGTTCATACTTTGTTTTTCTTTCAGTGACCTTGGACTTGCACAATTGATCTTGGGTCAAACTCATGACTCCCCCAGGTCGTAAGTAATCTTGGGGCAAAATGGGAACTCACAGTGTTTATCCATAAAAAGATATGTACCGGACATGAATTAATGAATATTTACATATCCAAATATACTTAAAATTTCCTTATGATTCTTTGCTAGAGAATTGTTCATTTTCTCCTGAACTGCAATGGATGAGCATGAATATCTCAATTGTTACGTCATATACCGCACTTGACGTCAAAACTATAGTGCAAACTGTTTTGCCATGACACCTCTGTACGGTGAATTCTATGATTGATTTTTCCTGTTATGGAACTTTTTTGTCTTTCATTATTTGTAGGTAGTGTTGCATATCTACACGTCCGTGCCTACCATGAATAATTTCTCTTAATGTTCTCTTTCCAGAAGTACGATTTTTCTGATACAACCCCTGGTATTCAAGATATTTATTTTATTCATTCGTATGAGTGAAGGAATGTATTTCTCTCTTGTACATTTCTGAATTTTTCTGTTTGGGAACTTTTACATCTTTTGTTATTCATAGCTAGTGTCGCATATCTACGTATACGTAACTATCATGAATATTTCTCTTGATTAACCTTCTCTTCTCAAAAGTACGATTTTTCTGATTCAACCCCTCGTATTCAACATATTCGCATTTATTTAATTCGTAAGAGTATTTCTTCTGAGGGAATGTATTTCTCTCTTGGATATTTTTGAATTTTTCTATTTGGGAACTTTTACGTCTTTTGTTATTTATAGGTAGTGTTGCATATCTACGTGAACGTAACTATAATAAATATTTCTCTTAGTTAACATTCTCTTTCCAAAAGTACGATTTTTCTGATTTGACCCCTTGTATTCAACTTATTCGCATTTATTTAATTTGTAAGAGTATTTGTTCTGAGGGAATGTATTTCTCTCTTGGATATTTCTGAATTTTTCTATTTGGGAACTTTTATGTCTTTTGTTATTTATAGGTAGTGTCGCATATCTACGTGTACGTAACTGTAATGAATATTTCTCTTGATTAACCTTCTCTTTCCAGAAGTACGATTTTTCTGATTCGACCCCTCGTATTCAAGATAATTACATATTTTTTTCCTCTCCTTTACTATCATCTTTAGAATAAATATAATGTGCTTCATAAAATATGTCAGCTTGAAGCGTCGTAGTTCATGTCCTTGTGAATCTTCAAAAATTAAATTCATTTCTTAAATGAACTTTTTTCTTTCTCGCACAAATGATCCTGGGTCAAGGTCATGTCACACCCTTAGGTCATAAACAATCTTTGTATAAAATAGGAACGTACCAAATTTATCCATAAGAAAGATTTGGACCAGACACAAATTATGCACTTTTTCTTTTAAAGACTTTGATCTTGCACGAATGATGTTGGGTCAAGGTCATGACACACCCTCAGGTCATAAGCAATCTTTGTGTGAAGTAGTAGATTCAAGTTTTCTTCATTAGGAGGGCATAGATGAAACACAAATTATAAACTTTTTCTCTTCAGTGACCTAGAACTTGTACATATGAATTTGGGTCAAGGTCAGGATACACCCTTGGGTCATAAGCATTCTTTGTGTTAAACGGGAACTCACTAAGTTTATACATAAGAAAGATATGGACCTAACACGAATTATGAATTTTTTTTCCCAGTGACCTTGAACCTGCCCAAATGACCTTGGGTCAAGGTCAAGACACACCCTTAGATCATGGGCAATCTTTGTGTGAAGTAGCAGATTCTAATGTTCCTCCATAAGAAAATATGGACACTTTTGCATAAACAGACAGAGGGACAAGCCGATTCCTATATACAACCCCTCCCAAAACTTGGATTGCAGGGGTATAACAAGTGGGGAAAGGAGGGCACAGAAAAATAATCAATCTTTTAAATCTACAAAAGGGATAAGGAAGGCATGGAGATAAACAAGTTTTGAAATTACAGTACCTTTAAGTTTGTCTATAAAATTATTACCTGAGATTTATCAGCACACTGTTCACTATGATGCATTTGTTTCACAAATTTCTCCTTTGCAGCTACCATATTTTGTATGCTGAAAAATAAAATACATAAAATCAAAAATTAGTGGGATTTTTTGTTTTAACAAGATGTGTTTGTGAAACTCTGCGCCTGGCGGCAACAAAGTTCCAAAAATCATTTTTAGCATATACGCCGCAGTCAAGGTCACAAGGTTATTGACATTGGTGTCATTTGAAAGAACTTAATTAGTAGAGTATGCATACCAAATATGAAGTCTCTATCTTCTATGGTTCAAAAGTTATGAAGAAAGTTCGAAAAAGCTATTTTTAGCATATAGGTAACAGTCAAGGTCACAAGGTCATTTACCTTGGTGTCATTTGAAAGATCTAAATAAGTGGAGTAGGCACACCAAATATGAAGTCTCTATCTCTCATGGTTCAAAAGTAATGGTGAAAGTTCGAAAAAGCTATTTTTAGCATATAGATCACAGTCAAGGTCACAAGGTCAATGACCTTGGTGTCATTTGAAAGAGCTTAATTAGTGGAGTAGGCATATCAAATATGAAGTCTCTATCTTTCATGGTACAAAAGTTATGGTGAAGGTTAAAGTTGACAACAGACAGAAAGACAAACAGATAAACAGACAGACAGGAAAAACACAATATACGCCTCAGATCTATCAATCTGGGCGCATTAAAATATAATTATGATCTTATAGCTATTGAGACAATTTAACTGTGTCCTTGCTACTATGATGTACATACAGTATTACCTTGTTTCTTGGCTATAGGTATGTCTCTGTATCTCTTTAAGCTTTTCTTCAAAATACATCTGAAAAGAAAAAATTACTTTTTACCAGTTGAATACAAGTAGTATTGTCATATACACAAACGTATACATTTTACATTGTTTAATGATGAATAACCTATTTTCAACTACAGTCATTCCCAGGAAAAAATTATCTATTAGGAAAGTATAGATGAACAGATTTTTGGCCCCCAATAGATATGTATATATATATCAAGGGATTTTAAATCCCAATGATATTTAGAGGTGGTCAAATAATATTTAACAGACTTTTGACTGTATATATTCTACATTTATATAGAAATATTCACAGAAGATTTTTCCAGGTTTTAATGAAAAATAAACAATACCAGACATTCATCCTCTGTCTTTTTCAGACTTATCACATCTTTCTCCAGAGATTTTAGCTCTTCTGATATTCTGAGTTGAAATTCTTCAATATATTTAGTTCTGGAACAAAATTCAAGAAAGTAATTTAATTTCAACTTGAACACAGTTTTATTTTAATGAAACAATAGCTTTATTGGCAAAGTTACAAAAAAGAGTTCTGGAAATTGGAAAATGAGGTGCACATGATCAGTGTTTTAAAAGTATTTAGAGTTTTGTGTACCAGAGTTTCATCTATAACATTGAGATATGAACTTTTAGATAGAAAAAAATATCAGAGGATGAAGTGAGTAAAACAGACATCATCCCTCTTCAAATGAATAAATATATAAAGGAAATGATGTATGTTGTCTTCAATCAAAACAAGTTTTTTTTTTTTTTTAAAACTTCATCTCAAATGATATACCGTATAACGGGTAATTTTTACTGCTTAAATTTTTACGAATTGAGCATGTCCGTAAAAAGTAAAATCATCGGAGGTGAAATTCTAGATCAATGTTTTAGCTTTTTGAATGCATTAACATACAAATACACGTATAAAATGTGTCTGGACAATCCGATGTAAAAAATAAAAACGTGTTTCCGTGATAACAGGAATAGTCGATTCAATAAATGATGAATTGTTTATTCATCTAAATACCTTTATATATCGCAGGTCCTGAATTTATTCCTGTTTTCAATTAATGCACATGTCTACGCATCATTATTGTTGTGAACCAAGTGCCCGTCTTCATTTTAATGGAAGCAAAGAGAGACAACTCAAACCATCATGATTAAGTTAACAGAATTACAGGGGACACGGATTACGGTATATTAAATAAATATGTCAAAGTTTTCACTGCAAGCAAATAAAAAAGAAGTAAGGGTCAAATTCTTGAAAAACGGATATAATTTGAAGACTTCAGTCTGTTATAATTAAGCCATTATCAGAAATCATGTGTCCCGAAAGACGAACCAGGTAATTGATGATGTTTGTATAATTTGTGTATTAATTAAGATTTACTTGTTTGATCCTAATTGATAATCAATTAAAAAGTTCCCCAAGTTACCAATGGTTGTGAGTACTAATTCTATAGCCTCCAGGTATTTAGCTAAATGGCAGTGATAACACTGAAATATTCTCATAATACGATGTTCAAAATTTATGCAAGACTTTTTTTTACTTCTGTGAAATTTTACGCGTTTAAATTTTACAGGTTTATAAAACTCGTAAAAATTAGGAAAAATTAGCAGCATGTAAAAAATACCCGTTATACGGTATGACTGAAAAACATGTAAGAAATTTTAAATTGGTAACAATCAACCTGCAAAAACTATAAAAAAAAAACCCTTGTCATCAATTTGTTTGGCCCAGATTTTTTGTCAAGCATTACATTTTAGCCATTCTTTTTTCTGCTTACATTATTTAGCCATTATGTACAAAGAAAATCTTTTTACTGTAATAGTAGTTTTAAGTTTATACCTGCTTTCCTTCAGTTGTGTATGGGTCTTCAGACAAGTCTTCACCAGTGATTTTAGAACATCCTTTGCCATGGATTCAAGTTGTTTTTTCTTTGCCTGAAAAGAAAAAAATCACCAGATTTGATTTTTTTTAAGATTGATAAAGATGTATGGAATCTGAAAACATCATTCTGACAAAACAGTAAACAGAACCAAAAAATAAATACTTGCCTGCATTTGGTTCTGTATTTCAATTCCAAATGAACTGATTTTGTCTGAAACTACACTCTCTATCTCTTGAGATGAAGCAGTGCTAACAGATATAGACATATTTTCTTTCTCATCATCACCTATAAGATAAATATCTGCAGGTAAGAATCAATTACTGCATATCATACCTGGTCCTATCCTCTTTAATTTTAAAAGTCAACTAGTTTCAGTAGTAGAGGGTACGGTTACAGATGTTACCCAAATGCTCCTCAACTCCCTTTTAATTATAAGTTGAGATTTAGAATCATCAAACCTTGTAAGTTGACGAAGCTTACCTTTTTTGTATTGTTGCATTGTCTGAATCCCTCTCAACCAGTTAACTTGACAAGCATTTTCAATTACTTGTTCCTCTTCTGTGATAAAATTTCTCTCCCTTTCCTGTTTTTGTCAAGTGCAATATCTTTCTTCTTTTTTTTTTTTAAATAGACACTTTTTCTCAAGAAAGTTTAAAGACTTTTTCATGTCAGTCCTATTTAAAGTTATGTTGTCACAGTTTTTAAATATTGACTATACTATACATAAAAGAACTATGTCGTGAATATTTTTTTAACAAAAACTATATTTAGTAATTAATTAATTAATTGTGATCAATTATAGAAAGTGATTGATAATGCTTCAAGACAAATCTACTAATACAGATATAAATCTCAAACAGTTCTTATTTTAAATTTCACAGATTCATTTAAGGAATCTGAAGTTCAAAAGCATAAAAGGATATTGCTTGTTTCCTCTTTGATGGGTTCCATCCACTTTCAACGGACTCTGAAACAATTTTAATGAAAATAAGCATTTTCAATACTGGTATTTTAAATATTACAAAAACTGTTCATTTATTTGGCCATAAAATATTAATTTCTTGGTTCTAAGGTCCTCCCTAATCTCTTCCAAGGGTGCCGCATTGATCCTTTTTATTGCTAAATCAATAACATAAAAACAACAAATCATCTCCCTCATCATTTTTTGAGGTTTTGTACAATGTAAAAAGCTGCCTCATCATGTTTTGGGGGAAATAAAAAGTTTTTTAAAAATGCCTCCCTCCCTCATCATATTTCTTGAAACCAGAAGTCTCTGTCGAGACTGAAGCTCTACTGGTTTGTACTTATAGCAAAGGAAGAGAAAAATACTTAAGCAGTTGGGAATTGAAACTTTATAACAGCAATAAATAGAATAATGATCCTTGATTAAGTCTTTCTACATTCTTAGTGTAGTCTACTTGCATGCCACATTATATTATAATCAGACTAAAACTGTATTTGAGTGGTATTTTGAAAGTATTAAACAGAAATTTCTATATTTAGTAACCAAGGCAATAATGTTCATCAAAGTCTAAAACCGATACACAGAATTGTTTATCTTAGTGTAGTCTACTTGTGTGCCAACTTACATTGAAATCAGTCCAAAACTGTAGGAGATGTAGCATTTTAAAAGAATTTCACAGAAATTTCTATTTTTAGTAACCACGACCACACTGTTCATCGAAATCAAAAACCGATACACAGAATTGTGTACCTTAGTGAAGTTTACTTGTGTGCCAAGTTACATGTATATTGAAATCAGTCCGAAACTCTAGGAGGAATAGCATTTTGAAAGAATTTCACAGAAATTTCTATTTTTAGTAACCACGGCAACACTGTTCACAGAAATCAAAAACAGAATTATGTATCTTAATGTAGTCTACTTGTGTGCCAACTTATATTGAAATCAGTCCAAAACTGTAGGAGATGTAGCATTTTGAAAGAATTTCACAGAAATTTTTATTCTTAATAACCACAGCAACACCGTTTATCAAAATCAAAAACCGATAAACAGAATTATGTATCTTAGTGTAGTCTACTTGTGTGCCAAGTTATATTGAAATCAGTGAAAAACTGTAGGAGGAGTAGCATTTTGAAAGAATTTCACAGAAATTTCTATTTTTAGTCACCACGGCAACACCGTTCATTGAAATCAAAAACCGATATACAGAATTATGTATCTTAGTGTATTCTACTTGTGTGCTAAGTTATACTGAAATCAGACCAAAACTGTAGGAGGAGTAGCATTTTGAAAGAATTTCACAGAAATTTCTATTTTTAGTAACCACGGCAACACCGTTCATCGAAATCAAAAACCAATACACAGAATTATGTATCTTAGTGTAGTCTACTTGTGTGCCAAGTTATATTGAAATTAGACCAAAACTGTAGGAGGAGTAGCATTTTGAAAAACTGTTTACAGACAGACGGACAGCTAGACAGACGGACAGACAGACGGACGCCGGATGCATTACTATCGCATAAGCTCTTCTGGTCTCTGACCAGTAGAGCTAAAAATTGTTTACAGACAGACAGACAGACAGCTAGATAGACGGACGGACGCCGGACGCAAAACTATCGCATAAGCTCTTCTGGTCTCTGACCGTTCATCGAAATCAAAAACCGATACACAGAATTATGTATCTTAGTGTAGTCTACTTGTCTGCCAAGTTATATTGAAATTAGACCAAAACTGTAGGAGGAGTAGCATTTTGAAAAATTGTTTACAGACAGACAGACAGACGGACAGCTAGACGGACGCCGGACGCATTACTATCGCATAAGCTCTTCTGGTCTCTGACCAGTATAGCTAAAAAGGCCTGAGAACCAAGGAATTAACAACATTATTTTTTATGGTTTTTAATGTAAAACATATGCTTTTGAGGAATGTTGCTATTAAATTCCTCTATAGAACTTGAAATTAAATAAATTTTATTTTGCAACTTTTGTTGAAGATTACTTTTTCTTTAGATAATCAAATTAAATGGAAAAACCACCCCTCCCAATCTTGTGGCAGTGTGGTGATGTCATCAGTCTTTTGCTCATTTAAACTAAAAGATGTACTTTCTTACACTTTATCCTTTTTTATTCGTTTTTATCAAAAAAATTCTAGTCTTGTCAATACTCCAGTTTAAATTTTCTTGGAAACTGGGAGAGGGCAAACAAACATTCTTTTAAACATGGCTTTACCCTGGCTTTCTTGAGAGGTCTCAGATTTTTGTGAAGAAGAAGCCTGATCTTCTATCTGCAATAATTATTACACAACATTAATACATTTAATCACATTTCTTGATGACACAAACTACTATTTTATTTACCTATTTTAAAATTAATGAGAATGATAAATTAAAATCAAATTTTTCCATTTACACTTGATTAAGCATAAAACATCATACATTTTCACATTCCTCATTTTGGTCATGCCTTGGAATATATGGACTGATAGGAAGAAGAGGGGTCTGCAAACTGAAATAAACAAATTGACACTTTGTACATTTTACTGTAAATAAGGGGAACTTTACTATAGGTGAAATCTATGGGAGGTAATCTAAGCCATTGTTATGATACTTTGACTCTGTTCTGGGCCCAAGACCATAAACTGTGAAAAGACTTTTCAAAAATATGATTTTTTTATCTTGACTACCGTAAATCTGGAAATTTTTACGTCGATTTATTTTTGCGAATTTGGGTCAAAAAGCTATTGATTAATTTTTACACTTCAAAATTTTGCGAATTGTCACTGGCGCTAAAAATAAAAATCACTTAAGATTTTCATATAAGTTTATGTTTCAATTTAGTATGCACAGTTAGAATACCACCAATATACTCGCACCGTGCACATGGCAAGAAATTGCAGAATCGCTCCGAAACAATTTTAAAGATAGAATTACAAAAGGATTTGCACTGAAAATAACTTCTAAATTAATTATAACAAACCTTTCAGAGGTTGTGTATGCCTTTTAACCTAAAATATAATCCAAATAAAGACAAAATATAACTATGTTTCTCAACGTTTGGTTTTTTCTCACGAAAATTTACATGCCGTGTTTACATTTGGAACTCTCTAGTAAGAGCACTGAGCTCGAGTTATCGCCCGTGTTGATACATGGTCTAGCTTTCTTGGCAAAATAAAAAAGTTGCTTGTCAAACCATCGGACAATATTGCATATAATGAGGGCAATTTACATGCACGGGTAATTGGTAATTAGGTTGTAGTTACAGTAGTATAAACAAATTTCTTTTTAACCAGAAGTCTCTGTCGAGACTGAAGCTCTGCTGGTTTGTACTTATAGCAAAGGAAGAGAAAAGTACTTAAGCAGTTGGAAATTGAAACTTTTCAACAGCAATAAATAGAATAATGATCCTTGATTAAGTCTCTTTATGTTCTTAGTGCAGTCTACTTGCATGCCACATTTATATTATAATCAGACTAAAATTGTATTTGGAGTAGCATTTTGAAAGAATTTCACAGAAATTTCTATTTTTAGTAACCACGGCAACACCGTTCATCGAAATCAAAAACTGATACATAGAATTATGTATCTTAGTGTAGTCCACTTGTGTGCCAAGTTATATTGAAATCAGACTAAAACTGTAGAAGGAGTAGCATTTTGAAAGAATTTCACAGAAATTTCTATTTTTAGTAACCAAGGAACACCGTTCATCGAAATCAAAAACTGATGTACAGAGTTATGTATCTTATTGTAGTCTACTTGTGTGCCAAGTGATATTGAAATCAGACTAAAACTGTAGAAGGAGTAGCATTTTGAAAGAATTTCACAGAAATTTCTATTTTTAGTAACCACAGCAACACCGTTCATCGAAATCAAAAACCGATATACAAAATTATGTATTTTAGTGTAGTCTACTTTTGTGCCAAGTTATATTGAAATCAGACTAAAACTGTAGGAGGAGTAGCATTTTGAAAGAATCTTACAGAAATTTCTATTTTTAGTAACCACGGCAACACCCTTCATCGAAATCAAAAACCGATATACAGAATTATGTATCTTAGTGTAGTCTACTTGTGTGCCAAGTTATATTGAAATCAGACTAAAACTGTAGGAGGAGTAGCATTTTGAAAAATTGTTTACAGACAGACAGACGGACAGACAGACAGCTAGACAGACAGACGGACGGACGCATTACTATCGCATAAGCTCTTTTGGTCTCTGACCAGTAGAGCTAAAAATGACCAGTGCTTACCGACGTCTATTCACTGAGTTAAAAATAGACACCAACTTTCAGAAAAAAAAAATTCTTTACATATTGATTTATTTTTAAGAAAAATATTTTTGCGAATGCATTGCACTCGCAAATTTGCTAAAAATTTATCTACAGTAAAAATTTCCAGATTTACGGTATTGCTGACCAAAAATATTGTAAAAGTTGAAAGTTTGTATGAGATACAAATAAAGACAAATAAAATATTGAAAGTCTTATATTTCTTTCAAATTATTTCAAGAGTTATTATTAACTTATAGGAAATGTTCACTTAAATCGGTTTTTCGGCCAGGTTTGTTTATTTCTAAATATACCTCATTTCAAAATGCACAATGATATTAAATAATGTGAAGGGTTGGCTAAAGTAGGAAATACTGCATGCATAGGTTTTACAATTTTAACACATTACAATCATATTAATGAATCAAATTGTTAAAATCAGTATCATAGTATCACATTAAATTGAATTACAGACTCTACATTTACCTTGAAGTAACATTTTCCTCAGAGCAAAATGATTCTTCAACCAATTTCTACAGTAGAAAATCAACATCATGAAAACACCTTCAATATAATAATAACAAAGCACCAGGAATTATTGATAAATTTTTGGTATTTACAGTGGACCTTCAGATATCCAGACGCCGGATATCCGGATGCGTCAGTATCCGGACGATTTTTCATTGGAATGAAATTTTTTAACGCTATTTTGTCGTGTTTAACTGGTATTTCAGATATCCAGATGCTTCACATATCAGGACAAATTGACTAGGAACCAAAGCGTCCAGATAAATGAGGCTCCACTGTACAAGTACCTCACAACTTTTTCTGAACTTTGATAAAATAGATTCTGGAGTGCTTGGCTGGAGATTTGGAGTGTTGGTAGCTCTAGAATCCAGTTGCTGCAATGCCTTCAACCTTTTAATAAACAAAAAAAAATAGAACTATCATATTTGGCGTTTGAATCACCTTGATGAATGAGTGGTAATTTTTACAGCTCTGAAACAGCCATAATGCCAAGGTGTAGCTCGCTCCGCACGCGGACTCAAAAAAAGAATAATGACTAATATTATCTCTGCATTGATATGAAATGACTTCATATTAAATCACTTAACAAACCTCTTTTTGTGTTTTTTTCTGGGAACAGGACTTGAATCAGCACTACTCTCATGAACATCTTCAATATCATTCTGCAAGAAGAAAGGATTCATTTCAAATAATTTGTCTTATTCTGAGTTATTCATAATGTACTTAATGAAAAGAATTAAAGAAAATAATGATTAATTTTAAACATTTATTACAACTGCCATCCAAAAGAAACAAAGGAAATTCAAAGTAATTACACTAGTAGTCTCTTTTCCAAATGAATAAGAATTTGTTGGTTTCCCTGACTTTGCTATCAATGTAGGGAAATTTTGAGATTCCGACATAGGACTGGACATGGGAGCATTATCACATTCCTCCTCTGGACTTGACAGACAAGTGATGGCATAATTATTCTCATCATCAGACCTAATTTGTCTGCATGTCTGCCTCTCTGTTCTCTTTGACTTTTTTGACTTTGGTGGCAAATTTTCTTTACTCATTTGGCAAACATTTTCCATATGATATACAGAAACAGAATTTTCTGGGTTGTGGTACTGATACTTAGTAAGTCTACTTCCCAAACTTGTTTTATAGTTGCATATGTCTCCTTTCTTTTTTGACACCTTATTACAACTTTCAACATTCCTTTCTTGGTCATCATAGTCACCATGTACTTTCTTTGACCTGCTCTGTTTCCAACCACTGCTTTCTTTATGTTGAACTAGATCACTGGAAGTTTTATCTTTTCTTCTCCCTCTCTTTACAGGTTTCTGTTTGGTAGGCTTTTCTTTTGATGATATCAGATTGTTGCTATATTCAGAACAATTGTCATCAAAGACATAAGGATCAACATCAGCATCTCCTCTGGGAGAGGAAACACATTGTGAAGAATAAGTCATCTGCACTGACAAAGTCTTAGTAACGCTTTGAGAGAATTTCTGGACTGCAGGACTATCTCCACTACTTCCCACACAGTGAATACCTCCCATTCTCTCCCTCTGTTGATGTCTAACTTTCCCATAGGTTTTAAACCATTTTGTGTTGTATTTAGAGTGTTCTGGCATACATTTGTACCAAGGACTCTCTTTGAAGCTAAGGTCTGTATTCAGACTCTTGTTACTTGCACACTCGTAACCATTCTTAGCAATGTCCTGACTCTCCTGAATGACATCTATTTCACTTTCCGTATCTGTACTCTTTTCTTGGAGATTTACTTGAGAACGTGGTCTAAGTGTTGGTTTAGCAAGGCTAGCATCACTTTCTTCATCACTACCCTTCCACTGAAATACTTCATTTCTTTCGTTTCCATTCTCTAAATAGCTTTGAGTTTTTTCTGACAGGGAAAACAGACTTCCTGTTGAGGGCTTCTTCACCATTTTCTTATCTAATGCTGAATTTGACACATCTTTCTTTGGTCTGCCACGACGTTTTCCTGTTTGACTAGATTTTTTAGCGGTTTGCGCTTTTTCAGTTTTCTGTTTATCAACATGAACATCTTTGAATTTTTCATCATCTAGTCTCTCAATTTCCACAACTGGTGATAAATTAACCTCTGTTGCAAGTTTCCTCTTTCTCCCTGGTCTTTTCTCAGTATTCTTTTTGCTTTTTTCAGTTTCTGTTGAAACTTTATATTCAGTTTTCCCTTTAAAATTTTTGTTCTCTGTGATTTTAACACCTGTATCCTTCGCAGTCTCTCCTTGACTATCAACAGGCTGTTGTTGACTATCAACATTCTCTGTTTCTTCCGCATCAGATTGTACACTGATACACACATTTGTCATAAGACAAACGTCATCGTCAGTTTGAGAGTCTGTTTCACTTTCATTTATTTGTTCTGTGAGCCCCATTTTCACTTCCACACTGTTTGATGTATTTTCTCTGGATGTCAATATTTGTTGCTTTTCATTATTAAGGGTAGATGATGCCATACTTTCTGCATTCTCTCTGGTTTTATTTTTGCTGGGTCTCACAATACTTGAGGATAACTTTGATGACCTGTTCTTTTTAACATTATCTGATTCAGGAACTTTTTCTTCACTTCTAGCAAAAGTAGACATGATACTTTTGAATTCTTCAGTTAAGTCTGACTTTGTTCTTGTGTCTAACGATTCCATGTCTTCTAAATGTTCCTCGCTTTTTGATTTTGGTTTTGATTTCTTTGCTTCCTTTAAATTCATTTTTGATGTCTTTTTCTCAACTACTGGAGCTTGAATTTTGATGGACTTCTCAACAATATCCAGCTGTGCCTTGTCTTGGATCCCCAAGTTTTCAACAGCATCACCAACATTTAATTCTTCCAAATCTGCTTCAGTTCTTTCAGTCTTCTTTTTAGATAAAGTCTTGGATGCTGAAACTTTTTTAGCTGCTGTTACTTTTTCTACCTTTGTAAAAGTTTCACCTGTAAAAAATAAAATAAAATGTATTGAAAATGAAAAACTACACTGTTGAGTTTGGTAATTCATAATCTGTATAAATTTTTTAGGAATCTATCAATCAGAAATCATGTTTCAGTATATTACTTATATATGTACATATTTAACCTTGACTGTATGTTTGTGCCATTACAAATTTATATTTTACGAATACTTCTGATTTTTTTATTACTACTTTAGGTAAAAATAACATATTTTAAGTACTTTTAAAACTCTCTTGTTTCATATTGTGTTGGTTGTTTTCCTCCTTTTTATTTTCCCTATTCCCTGCTATATTTTTCTGCACTTGCTCTACATTACTGGGACTTCTGAACTTTTTAACTGGTGGTGTGACAGTTACAACAGGTGTTTTCACTTTCTTTTTCTTTTTGCCACAGTGACTTGGTGTCTTTGGGGTGGACACTAAAACAATGAATTGCATGATTTCTAATAAAGCAACATTCTTTAATTTCAACAGTTTGACAAGAATAATAGTCAAATTCTTCAAAGTTAAAAATATGTCGAGGATTAGCACATATCATTCACATTCTGCCCAGCACCAGCACCTATCAATGTTTAAAAGTACGACTTTAAAACAAGAGGCCCATGGACCACATCGCTCATCTGAGCGCTGTGGCTAGAAAAAAAGCAAAAATCAATCCAGTAGTGAAAAGCTTAAATGCATAAGTGGTCCCACCCTACCCCTAAAGAAGGGGGGGGGTGTTAAAATTTGAAATACCTTGAATCTACACTTACTAAGAAGTCTGAACTTTCATTTTGGCCTCACCCTACCCCTACCTTGTCATGACAAACTTGAATCTACACTACCTGATGATGTTTCCATTTAAATATGATCAGTCATGGCTTTGTTGTTCTTCATCAGAAGATTTTTTAAAAGATTTTTCCCTATATATTCCTATGTAAAATTTTAATCATCCATTGTAGCCCCACCCTACCCCCAGGGGTCATGATTTGAACAAAATTGAATCTACACTATCTGGGGATGCTTCCATTTAAATATGACCAGACATAGCTTTGTTGTTCTTCCTCAGATTTTTCCTATATATTCCTATGTAAAACATTGGATCATCCAATGTAGCCCCACCCTATCCCAAAGGGTCATGATTGGAACAAACTTGAATTTACACTTCCTAAGGATGCTTCCACATTAGTTTCATATTTCCCAACGCAGTGGTTCTTGAGAAGATTTTTCAAACATGCCACCAAATTTTTACCATTTCTTAATTATCTCCCCTTGAAAGAGGGTTGGGTCCTTCATTTGAACAAGCTTAGATCCCCTCACCCAAGTATGCTTTGTGGCAAGTTTGGTTGAAATTGGTCCAGTGGTTCTTGAGAAAAAGTCAAAAATGTTAAAAGTTTACAGATAGACGGCCACAGACAGCTTTCAGCTCAGGTGAGCTAAAACTATTTTACCTTTATGTTCTTTTTTGCCCATCACACTTGAATAGAAAGTGGCTGAAGAGATTTTCAGTGGAGATGCTGCATTGGATGCCTTTGATGACAGAGAAATTTCATCTTCCTGCACTTTCCTCCTGTTTTGCAACAAATCCTTGTTATTCTCTGTCTTGCTTTCTCTGTTGAGTTCAGTTGCCATGTATTGTTCAGTTTCCGTGTTTTCTGTCTTTCTGTTACTATGAAGTAGATGCAAAGGTGTACAGGGGCTAGAGGCTTTTCTAGTATTTCTCTCAGCAGCAGGCTTTGGCACTTCCTAAATCAAGAGGTTTAAAAGTCATAGCTCTTACCAAAGTTTTCTTCCTCTCCTTGATAAATGTAATTGCAGGACATACCCTAGAAATTTCACTTTACAGTATATTGACATTTCATGTAAACTGTAGCTCTCTGCTTGTCAATATTTAGACAGATAAAGCAGAGAACTACCAACCTTCAATTAATGCCACCACTTTTCTTTTGTTACTCCCTTTAGGTTTTTTATTTATCTCATTTCTTTTCAATATACATTTTGTCTTTTTTTACAGACAATATGATTTGATCGTTTGATCGTTTATTTTAAATGCTTCATGTATGATTTGTTTGTTTAAAATGAAGGCAACAGAATTGTAGTCAATTGTTAACCAAGCATATAAATTAGGAAGAAGAAATATAAAAGTGAATGCAATACAGACTGCTAAATCATGACAAAATAGTACAATGGTAGTTTTTTTCCTTACTTTATCACCCCTTTTTTGGTTGCAAATTAACCATGCTTTTGGTATTTTAACTTACATGGAAAAAATCTCTCTGTATCTTTACAGGAAACTCCACTGTAGATGCTTTCTGTGAGCTCTGCAATATTTAAACATTTTATTTGCAAAACTTTAGTTCATTTCGATGAGGAAAAAAACCCCACTGATATACGAGGGTTGTTAGAAAAGTTCGCGGACACATTGAATTATGGAAAATCTATTGGGTACTGTGAAGTATGACCTATGTCTGAATAAATTCCTACATTTTGTTTATTAGTATGTAAAAAATCAGGTCCATTTATTAAAATCTTGAAATTTTACAACAATTTTTACTATGAGATCATAGGACTCACGGAGCAATCCCTAGACGTAAGGCGACGTGACAACTAGATTTCAATCCGTTAAGCTTTGTCGCAGTTCTATAAATCTTTCCTTTCTTCAGATTTTTCTTATTTTTTTCTACTTTAAAATTGAATATCTATATCAAAACATGTTACCTTTCTACTATAATATCTTTTGTACTAATTCGGATTGTACTGATTGGGATATTTTTGAGATCTTTAAAAACGTCTATGCAGTAAATTGATCAGGTACGAAAACTATGCAAAACCATATAGGCACAACATTCATGTGATAAGAGGGTATTGAAGTATCGATGGAGTTAATTATTCAAAATGTTAATCCTTCCATTTATATAAAGCCACAACCATTTGAAAACTTTCGTCCTTTGTGTGTGTAGGAAATTCCCGGCAGCATCTTGAAAATTTTAATCTCTTTTTAGACATTTTACTGTCTACACACATAATTTTTACGTAGTGCAGTGCTCCATGACACTCAATAACGTTCCGATTTTTGGCTGTGTTTTTACGTGTTGATCATTTATAAATGACTATAAAACAGTCATATACCCTCCAGTTTAATTAAAAATTACTCCAAGTGACGTTTCATGAATACAATATCATAAATCTCTTTGCGCTACAATTGTGCAATTTTTAATTTTAATAAAGAGTCTTTGTGGTGTAAACGTGCCAAAATGGAGCATGCTCCGTGAATCAAGATTTATCAAAATAAAAAAGCTGTATATTTTTCAATGATCACCGGAGAGCACCAAATTTTTGTATATTTATTGGAAAATAGGTTAAGATTTTATCTGGAAAGTTTAATCGGTTTCATGGAAATAGCGCGCTCACAATAGAACTTGTCCGCGAACTTTTCTAACACCCCTCGTACTTAAATCTACTTTCTATATTATTTATACAGACATAACTATAAACAATAAAATGTCTTGCTTTCTTTGTAAAAGTGGAATTTACAGTTGACCATTGCAAAGAAAAAATTGCAGGATTTTCCTTCTGCAATTATTGCTAAGAACTGTCCCCAAACTATCAAAAAGAGCATTTCAATGTTTAAATGAACTCACCTCAATGATATTACAACAATCTGGAAGTGTTTTCTCAACCACAAACTCGATATCTACATCATTGGGAAAATGTATCTGCATATGCTGACCTTTTACAGATGACTGACTTGGAAACAGTACTCCAATTGGTTTTTCAAATATTATTTCAAGATTTATGCTTCCATTTTTCTCTGAAATAATAAGAGTACTATAAATCAGAAGGTTGGTTTCTCTCTGTTGTGAAAGGCTTAATAAACTGGTAAATATGTGTTTTGTTTTTTTCAGATGTGAATGTACATTGCAATTTGCACATTGGACCGATAGGAGAGAAAATATGCTCCAAGGATTTTCATATAATTCTGCTATGATCTTAACCTTGGACCTAGAAACATGGTTCAAGGTTACTGCACACCCTTCACCCAAGGCACTCTGTGAGTGAGGTATAAACATAGTTGGACAAAGGGCAGAGATATGCTCCAAACAAAGATTTTTTCAAATAATTCTGCTATGACTTTAACCATTGACCTAGAAACATGATTCAAGGTCATTGCACACCCTTTACCCAAAGGCACTCTGTGGCTGAAGTACATGTATGATCCAGATGAAAACGAGAAAATATGCTCCAAACAAGAATTTAAACAGAAAGGATTTTTTTTTACCTTGACCCTTGACCTAAAAACTTTGTTCAAGGTCACTGCACATTCATTGACCACTGGCACTCTGTGAGTGAAGCATGAGCCACATTGGACAAAGGGGAGAGAAAATATGCTCCAAACAAGGATTCTTTTTTTTTATACATAATTCTGCTTTGACCTTAACCTTTGACCTAGAAATATGATTCAAAATCACTGCACACCCTTTACCCAAAAACACTCTGTGGGTGAAGTATGAGCCAGATTAAGCCAAGGAAAGAGAAAATATGCTCCAAGCAAAAATTTAAACAGAAAGGATATTTTTTACCTTGACCCTTGAACAAACTTTGTTCAAGGTCATTGCACATTCATTGACCACTGGCACTTTGTGAGTGAAGCATGAGCCACATTGGACAAAGGGGAGAGAAGATATTCTCCAAACAAGGATATTTATATAATTTTGCTTTGACCTTAATCTTTGAGTTAGAATCATGGTTCAAGGTAACTGCAAAACCTTTACCCACAGGCACTCTGTTTGTGAAGTATGGGCCAGATTAGGCAAAGGAAAGTGAAAATATGCTCCAGACAAGAGAAGGACAACTCCAGACGGACTAATGGATGGATAGACAGACGGACAGACTGATCACTATAGGGCGCACGCAGAGCGGGGCCCTAATTACATAAATTCCTGAATTCTTATTTGAGTAAAGATACACTTTTCACAAATCTACATCAGGGATTAGGATTTTATCACTTACTCTGAATTTTTACCTCCTTTACATCTTCATTCCTGATAGAAATGGTTTCCCAAAATTCACTCTCTTTCTGCAATGTAGAAATTACTATATAACAATAGGTTTGAAATGTTTTAAAGATATTCAATGCTAATTTAAATTCAAAGAACTATAAGCGGTATATTGCATATATTTGCCCCCACAAGTCAAATTTTGAAAACTTCCTGAAATGTGCTGAATTCAATAAATTGTATGAGAAATATAAATTAACAGAAAATATTATAGTGTCAAAGCAGTGTATTCACAATTTTTGTTTTTATGACGTCACAAACTAGTCCGATTTTATATCCTTTTTCAGAAAGAGGACAAAATGGACAAAATTTCAACAATTTTAGCTTTAAAATTTATAGAGCGCAAGTTTGTTCAGGAACAGTATTTTATTTCATTGATATTATCATTCTACACATTATATCAAAATATTGATCCTGAACACACATGCGCTCGATGACTTTTACTCAAAATATTGACGAAATATGTACATTTTTCTGTAAAATTCATAAACAAGAGGCCCAGGGGCCACATCGCTCACCTGAGCAATTGGCTAGGAAAAAGCACATATCAGATCAGAACTGAAAGTTTACTGGGGGTTGGGGGGGGGGGGGGGGGCTTGAACTTCAACTCTCCAAGGGGTCTTGATTTGAACAAACTTGAATCTACACTACATGAGGATGATCCCACATGAGTTTCATCTTTTCTGGCCCAGTGGTTCTTGAGAAGAAGATTTCTAAAGATTTTTCCTATATATTCCTATGTAAAACTTTGATCCGCCAGAAGATGATTCCACATGAGTTTCATCTTTCCTGGCCCAGTGGTTCTTGAGAAGAAGATTTTTTAATAATGCCATTATTTTTTCTCTAATTCATGATTATCTACCCTTGGAAAAGGGCGTGGCCCTTCATTTGAACAAACTTGAATCCCCTTCACCCCAGGATACTTTGTAGCAAGTTTGGTTAAAATTGGCCCAGTGGTTCTTGAGAAGAAGATGAAAATGTGAAAAGTTTACAACGACAACGCCGACAACGACGACAACGACAGACAACGGACAAATTTTGATCAGAAAAGCTCACTTGAGCCTTTGGCTCAGGTGAGCTAAAAACTGAAATTTACGTCATGTTTGTGACGTCATTATGTACATATGGCGTCATTACTTATGAAAATATTCAGTGCTTTGAAGTCAGCATGTACTCCCCTGTTTAAGAACTTAATTCGATATACCTCCATCAAAGTTTGATTTGGGGGGCAAATATTGGTTATTACCGAATAAAGTTCTTTAAAGTTGAAATGTCATTAAATTAATAAAGTGCCGCGCCACAGCATGATACGCCCGTCAAAAATTACAATTTTCTTCAACAGTTTAGCTTTCAATCACGTCAACCCTGATTCTAAATTTCCATGATTTTTCCATTCCTAGAAATATTTATCCATCCCCTGTGATGTAGGCATTAGTTATAATAAATATTATATCATTGATGGATTTCTATGCTGGTTGTGTTAAACCTTGTCAAATGCCCATCATATTAAACAATATCAAATTAGTCTTAACAAATTAATGTATACCAAATTAATTTTGAAAAGAAAAGACTGGCCATCAAATGACATATGCTATAAACTAACCAACAGTTCTTCTGTCAAATTCCCAAATGTCATCATACAGCTTGATCAGAGTGATTAAGACAGCTAGCCTGAACTCAATAATTAATCTTTAACTGGATGCTTGTCTACTCATTAATACCAATAGATGAATGGGTCTGCACTATCTACCATAACTTTTTTTAAAACATATGAAATACTCAAAGATTTTTTTTGTTTGACATTAAATGTCCGACAGGTTTTAATATAAATTCATATGGACATGCTGATTCCAACCCAATCCCATAAAATTAGTTTTTATAAATTAACAATTTTATATAATATAAGTAGGGCTGGGTATTGGCCCGAGATTTCGTATTGCGATATATTGCGATATTTTTAACTGTATTGCGATATGTATTGCAATATTTTCAATGTAATAAAAATGGCATTTTCATACTATATTTACTATAATTTACATGCAGAATGTACATAACTATGATAAGTTACCAACACAGAAAAAAATCTTGTTGATTTCATTTAAGTTATGCTCTGAAATGTTGCCACAAAACAACTTCTGTCTTACTGTTTGGCTTAATAACAAACTTTTATAAGTCCATTTTTATATTTAATGACAAAATTCCTTAATCTATTAGCATATTGCCAATATATCGATATTACAAAATCGTATTGCGATACGATATTTTTTGTCATTGTATTGCAATATATTGAAATATCGATATTATTGCCCAGCCTAAATATAAGATTAGTCTACTATGCAATATTAAATTAGTTTTAATTACTTTTCATTAAATTCATTTTAAAACTTAAGGCTGGTTTACACTATGCATCTTGACACATGCATCTTGGATGCATGTGTCAAGATTCTGTAAAAGCTTGTTTCAAATTAAATTTTTCTTGAAAATGGAATAGAACTTGTTCTATTACATTTGGATGCATGGAACTGACCAATGAAAAGTAAGGTCAGAGTTGATATTGAATCATGAGCCTTATTTTTTTCATATAGTTTCAAAAATAGCTTCCCAAGATACACAAAAACAGAAAATACTGACTAAAACTACAATTAGAAAAACTTATTTAATTATTATGAGATAGAGGAGTTTTTGTTTTGGAATAAATATAAATTATATCTTCCGAAAATTATCATAAAAATGAAATTAAGAATGATTTGTTCAGCTAAAATGAATCTGGAAATGAAATTTGAAGGTATTGGTTTTTTTTTTAAGTAGAGAAATTTCATCTTTACAAAGTATTCTAAAGATGCATGCATCAAGACACATAGTGTAAATAAGAAGATGCATGAGGCAAAATTGAAGCATGAGTTTAGATGCATGCATCAAGATGCATAGTGTAAACCGGCCTTTAGGCTAGCCAGCAAGAGCTATTTTTAATCCAACAGGCTCACACATTTGCCCAGTACTCAAGGGATATGGATAACACCATGCTCTGGCTATTAGCAAACTCCTCACACTCAAAACTCATTAATTTCTCTCTAATTTGACATGCAATTTTCTGTTATCAAAATTCTTCTTGAGTCTTGACCAGTGCTTGATAATTACACTCATGGGAGAGGTAGGGTTTCTCTAACATACATAATATTTGTTACAGATTGCTGTCAAGTATATGCTTTAAAAAAATAAGTATTTTCTTGATTTAACACTTTTTTATTAAGGACAGTGCAATACTCTTACTTTATTTGGGATGTGTAAATGAATAGTAAAAAGACACATCTTTTTTTAAAATTTCATTTAAATCAAAGGTCACAGTGACCTTGAAATAGGTCGCGACACACCTTCTACCTAAGATGCATAAACTGGCCAAGTTTGATGATTGTAAGTCTTATAGTTTTCTAGTTATGGGCCGGAAAGGATTTTTCCATATTTGGCTATATCTTCTTAATTAAAGGTCAGAGCGACCTACTTTTTGTGCGCGACACACCTTCTACCCAAGATACATCAGATGACAAAGTTTGATAATCCTAGGCCTAATGGTATTAAAGTTATGAGCCGGAAACAAAAAGCTAACAGACAGACAGACGGACGGACACGAAGCCTATAACATAATACGTCCCGTCTTAAGACGGACGTATAAAAACCTCATACCTCTGAATCATTTATCTGTTCACAAAATAAGGTTATTCTCTTTGTTCCTGTATTAAAATCTACCCAAAAGTGATCATATTCATCATCATTTGGCTTGATAAGCTAAAAAAAAGCAAAAATTCAGTTCAGACTCATCTTTGTAGATTCAAAGATAAAGAGTGTTGATAACCAAAGAATATATACATACTGTGATATAACAATTAATACAAGTATTTTACTTTATGTAAACTATCATGATGCATACTAACAAGTATCACTTTACATTCTTTTCCATTAAAAAGTTCCAAAAACCAACTTTTCAGAATATATAACAGTGCAGTCATATTTTAAGAATTATAACAGTACAGTTTTTTTTCAAAAAAAGAATTAATACATGTACAACTTAATGTGCTTTAAAGTTGTAGAAATTATGATTCAGATTCTCAATTTTTTTTCTGTATCAAATAAAAACTGATTTTCTGGATTATGAAACTGTATCAGCCTATCACTCTCTGACTCAACTTTACTCAAGTCAAAAAATGTATCACAATATACACGCACTATATTGTTACACCATGATTGTTAAGTACACTACCTTTTTGTCTCCTAAAACAGCCCAAGAGCATGGAATGGAATACACCCTGCAATGCAAATAATAATAAATAATATACATGTATCTCAAAAACGAGTGTTTAACAATTGAGGAACTCATGTCTCTTGGAGGTACTCCATGGGAAAATTATAATTTGGTCTAGGAAATAAATTTTTAAAAGAAAAGGCCAATGACCACAAGCCTCAACTGCACTGCCATTCTCATTGTAATGGAAGAGGCCTAAAAGCCTGAGTATAATAAAACTCTATAAATGATATCAATGAAATAGTAAATACTTAAATAATAACTCAAATTTATCTGAAAAAGGATAGTCAGGACTCAACAAAATAGTTAATTTAGTGATAAGCAGAAAATTTTAAACTTGCGGGGGCTGTACTTAATTATATTAATATGAAAAGCTCCTAATTGATGTGGATTTCTTGAAAATAATGGACATAAGGATTTATGAACCATCAAGGCTAGGTTACTCATATTGATATTGTAGCATTCCCATGTTGAATTGATTTAGGTTTTGGCAATGTCATTTCTCTTTGGTGCTTTTGTGGAGCCAAAATATGGTATTAACATTTTCCACATGAATCAAGAGGGGGAAAAATTTTGAATTTTTTTTTAAAAGAGCAACAAGGCCAAAGTTATTCAGGTGAGCATTATGGCCTATGGGTCTCGTTTCTCCCAAACAGGTTTACAAATGACAAGACTGATGATGGACAGAGCAATTCCTATCTATTTTCAATATTACACATGTGAAACAAAAAAAAAATCATGTTATATAGATATCAATTGCATATATAAGCAAATCTTTATTTTACTTACAACTTTTTGTTCAAGGAAGAGTTGAACTCGTTCAAGAAGATTCTGCAGTCCTATTAAATATGAAGAAAAAATACACTGCAGAATGTGAAGGTAATGTACCAGGTAATGCTAAGATTCTTACACTTTAAAATACAGTTGGACTTTGGTATCTCTAATTCCAATACACGTATCTCAAATTCCTTGGATATGTAAAAGTAATTCAAAAGTCCCAATCATTACTTTCTAATCATATTTTAACCTTCATATCTGGAACCTTTGGATATCTTGAAAAAAAAAATTAATGCACAAAAAAAGTCAAATTTTTTTATTGAGTTTTAGATAATGAGGTTTGTGTGCATCAATTAAGTGATGTTATTTTATAGATGAGCATGTACACTGATTTTTTAATGGATACCAAAATAATTCACATTTGTATTTCAACTAGCATTTTACCCAACAATTTTTAAAACTTTTAATTTAAATTTCTTTACAAGAACTCAACATTGATGTGTTGTTATCTTTTTTAAATAGATAAAAATGTAATGGTTGTCTCTCCTGATATTGAAAAACTTACTGTCTCAAAGTTGGCATCCTTAATAAGCATGAATCTTTGCAGAATCTTTCCATCACTAAAGAATTGTTTTGCATAATACATTCTTTGCTTTCGTGGGATAATTCGAAAGAGACACTCTATTATTCCAACTTGACATTCATAATCTGTAAGGGAAAAAACATTTTGCTTTTTTTAATTCGTAAAAACATTTTATAGGCAGTGATAAATAAATAATTTTTAACATTTGAATATATCCTTTTTGTAAATGATCTCACATTTACGTGATAATTACAGTAAAAGTCTTTCATAAGGAAGTCACTGAAATCTCAAATTGTGATTACCGGGATCTATCAAAATAATAGTGTAGTGAAAAGTTTTCTATGGGATTTGTAAGTTTTCGATATTTTCCTCACTAGTAATTTTTTTTAACAGCAAATTTTACTGTATTATTTTGCATAGGTACATCATTTACAAATTTATCTAAAATCTTTTTGTACATGAATACAGTACAATATGACAATGACAAAAAAAGGTTATTACCTCCCAAAATTTCTAATTTAGCTGCTACACTTTTCCTGAAAGTTGAAAAAATCTATAATAAACATTCACTACTTATTCAAGTGATGACAATATATAATAAATATATCGGTTAATAATGCCATGTAGTTTACAATTTGCCAGGAATATCTTTTCTTTCCAGTATCTTTTCCTTTGTTGCCAGAGTACAGTTTTCCATTACCATATTGCAACCTTTAAGAACCTATAAAAAGACAAAATTTTTCATTGAGTATAGAACTTAACATTTGTGTTAATGTATATAGAAAAACTCATTTAGTACTAACACGGATATTGTGAATTCATGAATATAGCGAAGTTATCTTCGATCCCCAACTAAATCCTTATATGGATATACTGTAAAACGAGAATATTTGGCGCACTACTAATTTTAGCGCCTTTGGCACAAGAGCCCCTGAACACTAAAATTTATTGTGCGCTAACAGATTTCTAAACATTATATTTTGTGTGTGTTCAAAGCTTTCACATAAGTAAATGTAAATTGGAACGCGCGATTATGTAATGCCGAAAGGTCGTTGGAAAGGTCATTGGATTTTATATACACACTGTCTAATGTACATACTACACATCAAATTATAATTTAATTAAACTATTGTAAATTTTATTTTAACAAACCACTATTAAACCATGAAATTACCAACAAACTATATTTTTGTGGTTTGTTATAGTTTGATAGTACAAATGACAAACAAACCACTTTTTCTAAAAATAGCTGCAGTGGTTTGTTAGTCTTCCTTCTGGTGATTGTGATTTCTTTATAGTTTGTTGAATGTCAACAGTGTTTTATTAGTATAGCATTTGCATCTAACCACATGGGAAATTACTTTACAGACGTGTTTAGGGTTGAATTATCTAAAATTGTTGAAGTTTCCAAGAACAGCTTAATCTTTACATCCGGTGTTAGCTATTTGCGCCAATTTTCAAACCACAAGCACAGGCCAGAAACAAAGGAACTGGTGAAGGGACATTCAAATTGTTAGTATCATTCTATAAGATCCCTGACTGGAAAAAGCAGCAATTAACATTATTAAAAGATGGATCTGGATACAGAAGAGGTATTAAATGCATGCCAGGAAGTAATTTATAACCTTCTGTGAATGTGGATGGCAGCGCGTATGCTTTTTACTATATACCTTTGGGTTTTTATTTATTTTTCAGATTGACCTATAATTCCTTTACTAGTTTAGATCAGTTATGCATTGGATAAAAATAAAATAAGACAAAAAAGATGTCTTTCAAAGTTGCAATGAGGCCAGAAAAAAGGAAATATTGCAGCATTTTCCATTCCAGATGAAGCAGGGAATATTTAAATGTCAGCTTGAAGAACATTTTTTTGGTGAAAAATACTATGAAGATGTAGACAACATGAAGGAGAATATGTGATAAGTACAACATTGACTTGTTGTATCAGCTCCTAAACAAAAGGGAACATTTCTGTTGCACTTGCATTGGCTAAACTTGTGAATCCTGGAATAAAACTCTGAAACAAGACTTGTTGAATATTTCAAAATGTGATTGTTTTAGGTGTTTTCAAAGACTTGTGGATTTGTAAAGGAAAATAATCAAATCTAGTGTTTTGCTGATGGATTTGTTACCAGTGATTTCTTAGTAGTTTGTTAGAGTGGTTTGATAGTAGTTTATTAGAATGGTTTGATAGTAGTTTGTTAGAATGGTTTGATAGTAGTTTGTTAGAGTGGTTTGATAGTAGTTTGTTAGAGTGGTTTGATAGTAGTTTGTTAAGAGTGGTTTGATAGTAGTTTGTTATAGTATAGTTTGTTAGTTCATTTGCATGTGATTTGCTATACTATTAAACTACTTAAGGAGGTCCACAAAACCACTCAAACCATAGTGGTTTGTTAGTAATTTGTTATAGTAGTTTGTTTTTTTTTTCCATGATATTTTTGTTTAGCTTCTCGGCGTATCAATCATTAATCCCCTAGAGATAAACAATGCCATCAAGCATGGCAATTGAGCTTGCAGACAATACCTGATAACAATTACCGTTTATCCAAGTAACTGTCGTTCGATGCATGCATTGTTTTAATATGAATAAAATGCGTAAATACTCCATTTCTTTAATTTAAAATAAAATTGAAATAAATTTTAACATTGTGCCATGTCAATGTGATTGCAACACCACGGTAAAGTTGACGAATGTTTTCTTATATACAGGAGTGCTATTGTGTATCCGTGCTTGACAAATCAAAAGGTCAAATACAGGTGTAGATAAAAAACAAAATATCACATTTAAATAGTTTAATGACAAGTGTAAGAGCTAAAATTTATTTGTGCCAATGCATTCCCACTTGCGTTTGCGCTAAAATACGTATGCGCCAAAATTTCTCGTTTACAGTAATAAATTATAGATACAGCAAATTAATTTCATAGGTTCCAGTGACTTTTTTATAACCAAGTTTTACTGTATTTTCATTCAAGCAATATACTTCACATCATATGAAATTTTCATTCTAAATTTTATTTTAACCTGAAATTTAATATAGGTTGCACAAATGACAACTTGAAAATGATCTCCCTCATATATTAATTTTTGAATGTCAACAATTCTTATAAAAACTTAACTCTTGTAAAAACAACATATTTTCATGAGGTCAAATGAAAATTAAATTTCCACAGAAATTAGTAATTTCATGGTCTTCGAGAATGAACAGTGTCAATTTTCTTCAAAATAAAATTAATTCAGAAAATCTATTTTTCTTCACCTTGATGCTTGTACAGTGAGGACAAAATATGTGTAATATTATACCAAGATACAAACCTCTATTCCATGAAGATAATTCTCTTGTTTCTTCAAGATCAATTCCAAACACTTTGGACAAAATGTTAAAAGGAAACTTTCTTTATCTACAAAAAGAATAATAAAAATTTAGAGTAATATATACACTGTGGAATCTTTTTTTTTATTTCAAGAGGGGGGTGGGGGTGGGGGGGGGTCAATACTTTGTTGGCAAGCAAAATTATACTGGTTTGATCCAATGTGTTTACAAAGTTCTAGTTCATGGGGATATATATTCCAAGGGTAAAAAGGTCCACAAAACCACTTATATTTGTCCCACATAAGCAATAATGATTCCACATCAGATTGTATAATTCACATTGTTTGTATTTATTTATTCCATGATTTTTTTTTAGTTGTAAAAAAACTAAAAATGTATTAATTTATCAAATATGTTGCACGATATATTTATAAATTAACAAATAAAGGTAAAAAAAACAAACAAACAAACAAACAATTGAACAAAAGAACTGCATTAAACAGTTAAACAATTAACAAGAGGCCCAAGGGCCACATCGCTCACCTGAGCACATCGACTAGGGAAAAACCACATATCAGATCAAAGTTTATGAAGGGGGGGGGGCGTTTAACCGCCCTGGGTATGATTTGAACAAAGTGAATCTACAATCTGAGGATCATATAATAAAAAATATCACTAATCATGGCTTTGAAGTACTTGAAAAGAAGACTTTAAAAGGTTTCCCTATATATCCCTATGTAAAACTTTGGTCAGCCATTTTGGCCCCACCCTAGCCATGCATTTGAGGCTGCACTACCTATGATTCCACATAGTAACATTTCCTGTCTCAATGGTTCTTAAGAAGATCTTTAAAGATTTTTCCTATATATTCCTATGTAAAACTTTCTTCCCATTCTTGGCCCCACCCTAGCCTCATGAAACAAATTTGAATCAACTTATGATTCAACATGACATCTTTCCTGGCCCAGTGGTTCTTGAGAAGAAGATTTTAAAAGATTTTTCCTATATATTCCTATGTAAAACTTTGGTCGGCCATTTTGGCCCCACCCTAGTCCCGGGGGTCATGATTTGAACAAATTTAAATTTACACTACCTGAGGATGTTATTATAGTGGACTCAAAAGGAAAGATTTTTCCTATATATTCCTATGTAAAACTTTGCCATTTTGGCCCCACCATAGCCGGGGGTCAGATTTGAACAAATTTGAATTTACACGACACACCTTTCCTGTCTCAATGGTTCTTAGTAAAACTTTGCCACACAAAATAACAAATTTGAATCTACACTATGACGTTCATGAGTTTCATATATTCATTTTAAAAGATTTTTCCTATATATTCCTATGTAAAACTTGGTGTTTTGGCCCCACCCTAGTTTCCTTGGCATTTTCTTTCATTTTTCCTATATATTCTGGTAAAACTTTTGTTTTGGCCCCACTGCATATATATGTATTGAATTTACATAATAAATTCTAAAATGTTTCCTGGCCCATATATTTCCTCTGAGAAGAAGAAGATCTTTAAAGATTTTTCCTATATATTCCTACCTGACTTTGGTCAGCCATTTTGGCCCCACCCTAGCCCTCGGGTATGAAAATATACACTACTATTATTACAATACAAATTCATTTTTCCTTACAGTATTATTTTTTTTTAAATGTGAAACTTTGTGCAAGTTTACCTTGAAATTGGTTCAGTGGTTCTGTCAACAAGATGAAAATGTGAAAAGTTTACGACGACAACGACGACGACAACAACGACGACAGACAACGGACAAATTCTTTATTCGGCTCAGGTGAGCTAAAAACTAATTCAATGAAATTTTAAGAAACTTGTTTGCATACCCTCAGACAAACCCTCTGCTAATGCCTAAAATATAAATTCCTCCATAAAATAATACCTATACAGTTGTGCTGTTGAACTTTTGTGTCTATATAAATATTGATATCTTGAATACCATGGTACCACCGATTCGTCATTTAAAGTCAGTTGGAAGTCCAATTTGTGTTCAAACTGTATGGTTTTAATATAAATATAATTTCTTTCACATTATTTGCATTTCGCATTGTTAAATAACATTTAGGAAAGGTAAACTTTTCATCTTCAACTTACAATGATTATCAAATTAATTAATGTGCCACTACAGTACACACACTGAATTTGGAAATAAATAACAGTGCAGTCTCTCAAGAAGGCACTTACATTGACAACATCCAGAATTTGTTCCTCAATTATTTCCCATTCATTTTTTCCCTTTTCGTGCTTTTTAAGAACTTCATCAAAAATCTTCTCTATGTGAACAAGAAAAAATAAATTATAAATATTATGTGTATTCTAGCAGGCATACCTACAAAGATTTGTTTTTAGCAAATCATTTACTCTTTCCATCAGCTTTGATCATGAAGCATATTATAGCATAGAGTGCACAATATCAAAATAAATCTCCAAATACTTATCATGAGACTTATTCCAACTTTGATGAATTTTTGGACCACATCTGCATTTGAGGCTGCTGTATAGAGGACATATAACATTTCCTGTAAACTTCTTAGTTCTTCTGCATTTTCTTCCCAATCTTGTAGGCTCTGAAATTAGGACATTAAGACATTATGAAAATCATAAAAGAAAAAAAGATTCATGAAAAAAAAAATCTTTATCATAGGGACTCGAGAGGAGCCAAGCGATGTCGCCACATCCGTATACAGATGACAAATGGCACAACACACTAATGGAGCACTGTGCCATGCAGAATACAATGACCCATGACGTTCTAGTTTGTATATTCATTGTAATTGGTGTTTTGACAGTTTCCTTGGCATTTTCTTTCATTTCTGGTATTTTGTTGTCGACTGCATATATATGTATTATCATAATAAATTCTAAAATGTCTAAAATATATTTCCTCTGGACTGCTTAAATTTTAAAATGACCAGAACTGTTGTTTGACCCTTCAGGGTACTATAAATACTGCTATTATGTATTACATATACAAATTTATTTTTCCTTACAATTATTTTTTTGTTAAAATGTGAAACCTCAAGTTTACCTCACAGACAATGTCAACATTCTTTATTAGTGAACTTTCAACACAGGCATCCCATTTCTGTGTACTCTTCTCCAGACATTCCTTGATTAGCTGGAACATTTTACTCATTTTGTGCTGAAAGTGGATCCAATTTGTGTTAAACTGTATGGTTTTAATACAAATATAAACTTGAACATTGTACACGAAAGTAAGAACAATACTATAATTGGTGTACAGGGCAAATACCAGTGGTATGCCTACTTATTTCTCACTCTTGTTTTCTTTCATAGGTACAGAACTATCTCTTTGATGAGCTATATAGTGAATTAGCAATATACTGCATGTGTACGTAATTTGACATATTCAAAATTTTGTGTAGTCTCCAGGTAAGGAGTTGTTGGCATAATCATGATTTATCCCTACATATGTCCCTACCATATTTTGTATTAATAATTTTTTTTTAGGGTATTCATGAATTAATAGCACATTGTTGCTATGCAAAAGCCAATAGAATATGAAGCCCACTTTTACACAGATTCAATACAGTAGCTTAACTACATATTGATTGGGCTGTATATATATATACATATATATATAGCTTTATCAAGCTATTCAGAAAAGCTCAGTTTGAAATACTTTTTTTATAAATATAAAATAAAATAATTTTTTCAGCATGTAAGATAAGTCATACCTTGGTGCAGTAATATTTTTTTTTAAACTTCCACCTGTTCTAAAAACAATGCATGTAAAAATAGCTCCCAAAATTTTTATTTATATAAAGCAGCAGACAATGAACAGTATACTGATTTAGTTTATCAATTGATTTGGGTTGCTATTTGATAATGCAAAACAGGAATACAAGTTGTCTCATACTTGCCAAAGGTGCGCTTGAATTTCTCTTTAGAAATTTTGTTTGTACTATCCTAAATTCGAAGGAAAAAACACTTATTATTTGTTAGAATTTTCTCATTTTTTATAACGCCTTTGCCCCCGGACCCACTAGGGCTTTGCTCTGAACCACTAGGGGCTTACATGTAGCCCCCTAGAGTTCCGACCTTCCACTGCGCCCTCTCGTTATAAAATTCCTGGATCCGCCGCTGCTTGCAATTGTTTTAATTTATTTTTTCTTTACAAACCTTTTTGTTAAATCTTTACAAAGCTTTTCTAAATAGTCTAGCTTATAAATATTTAGCTATAATTCAGTAGAGCACGATATTTAATTGCTGGACCTGTTAATTCATGCAATCATGTATCATGATACATGACACATCTCATTTAAGCAGTGGAGGTGTATTATTTTGTCTAAAGTCTATCCCACAATACCAACTTGATTTCGTCAGCGTGTAGACACCTCAAAATACATGCAGTAAATATATATATGGTATGGATATCATTTTGGCCTTCAGACTAGGTTCGATCTCATGTGCACGGGACTTTACTAAGTTCATTGAGAAAAAAAAATCAATGACAAGTTCCTCTTTAATGAAATACATTTCAAGTAGCAAGTACAGTACTCCAATTGAGCAACCTGTGATTTTTGTGATGGTTCTTATAAATTATCCGGTTATAGGGCCTTATTATAAGATTGAGCAATTAAGCCTGTGTAATTTATATCCTTCCTTTCAAGTTAAATAAATAACATTAATTGCAGCAATGCACCTACCTATACTTAATCAATGACATTCACAATCCCTCGTAAAACGCATTTGTTCATTCAACATAATGTAAACATCTAACATGTCAACAAGCATGGCATGACAGACGATTGATACACTTCCTTTCTGCGTACTGACCTTTGAACTCTACGTCATACGGCGAAAAGGCGCGTAAATGTCACAAAATTCTGTCAGATTATTTTTATGAAAAACAGAAAAAGCAGCGATTAAATACCGTTCGATTTGTTTACTTTTAATAGTGGCTGTCATTCATATAATATCTTATATGATAAACCAAGCACATCTAAATTTTAGGAAATATCTAATGTGCCGAATGAATTAAGTTAAAAAAAATTAACTCTAAAAATATGAACTATAATGACTTTATCAAAAATTTCAAAAAGACAAGCGTTCAAACTTTTTTCTCATTGTCACAAAATGTCTCATGTTGTTTATTACACACACTAAACATAGATAATTTCAAAGATTCTGAGTTTTTCCATGCTGAATTTGCTCTCTTTGAGCCTTGAATGTTCTAACAATCTTCCTGTTTTCGATTCTTTGTAAACACACGCGTTCACACGAGAGCGCCATCAAGCGTCTAAAATCGATATTTAGTCCAAGATCGGCAACTCTAAATATTTTTGGCTCATTGACACAAAAACGGCGGGAAAATCGAAAATCAAATTTTGCGCAAAAATATCAATGCGCACTTTTTAATTAATGAATTCAACTTAAAAGAACTGTCTAAAATTTAATTACCTGACATTCCTGATTTACAAGAAACGCGTACTGTGTCTTTCGAAACTGGCAGCCATTGTATTTTTTTGCAACCTCAAAACAAAGTTGATTTAGGGGTATCCCTTAATAGTATTGATTCCATTTTGCATTATTTCCGTTCAGCCCATCGGAAAGAGGTTATTTTTGGTGCATATTGTTTTCAAGGCTTGTTTTAATGTTGCTGCAGCTGTTTTGATAGTTATGTAAAATGACTTCTTACAAGAATGGCGAAATACTTGTCTGGACTATTGTTGTGCACTTTTCATAATGTTCCACCAGTAATGTCCGATATTTTGTCTAATTATGATCGGAACTAAAAAAAAAATGCAGGGTATTTATTGAGTAGTTTTTTCCCCTCTATTGTTGAATACGCTTGGCACAAGTTAAGAGTTTTTAGGGGGTCGACAGGTGAACTAAGTTGAACAAAGACCAAACCGGGAAGATTCAGAGGAAGAGCACACAAATAAATGCACATGTAAACCTAGTCATGATTTATTACAGTACTCGAGGATCCTAGGAAAACAAAGATATCAAGCTAATGTGCAGTGTTTAGAAATCAGCGCAGCAGGCCGACTTGGGGATTTAGCTCCTACCCGTTACAAGTGGAACTCTCCCTGCATTGAAAACGACGTATGCCGCGAAATCAGATGCACATGTTACGAAATAAGTGATCAGTATCATTTAATATCAAGTAAAATCGGCAATATCGTCCGTGCAGCTGTCATCACCTGCTCTCTAGAACAAAATGAAACAGGCATTCTGCAAATTGCTTCTGTAAAACGTCAAACACATTGGCTGTTATTCAAAGCTTGGAATTAAGTGCGACTACACACGAAGGATGGGACTTTGTCACAAAAAAGTGACCAAAGTAACACTTGGTAAAAAGGCTTTACCACAAGAACAAGTGTCAGAGGCATAAAAAACACACACTGTGGTGGGAAGGGTAGTCCGATATCCCTAGCTCTTAATTATCGTGGAATGAAAGAAATTCAGAGAAAGTGTGAAAAGAGATAGAAAGAGGGAAAAATGAAAGAGAGAACGTTGTAAACAATATGTAAATAGTTCATTTTTTCGTCCAAAAATCAAATAGCTTTTCTTTTCTTTCTCCCCTTCCAATTCTTAAAGTGTAATGAATCCCTTCGAGTTCAGTGAACTTGTTTTTACGACTTGAAGAATAAAACAAACATTGGGAGGTTGCAACCTTTTCTTGATCTCTAACCAAAATTGTTAGTTTTCACAGTATAAAATTTCAAATAATTTATTGGTATGAATGAAAACAAAACAATGCCAACAAGAAAACATTTTTCATTGAAAAAAAGGTTGAATTTTATAGTCTGTCATAGGAGTCTAATGCATCGCCGATTTTTATTTCAAAATCTTTGAAATGAAAAAGGAAATACTTAAACTTAAATTTCAAGTAATATTGAATTACATTATCATTTTGATAATGCATAAGTTACACTTGATCTGCTAACTTTAATAAAATAGGAGTCTTCGACACTTTTTCGAACTAGAGAACATCATGTACTGAAAAAAAGTTCTACTGCTCTATTTAACAAACGTCCCAAGAAAGCACAAATGATGCTAAAGTTTGTTTATCATTTTACATTTTTTATCCCCCCCCCCAAAAAAAATTTACTTTTTTAATTTTCGACTTCATAAAACATATTAAAAATACATTAAATCATTTATGCCTTTCTTTATTTCTAAATTTTCTCGTTCTCCTTTTTTAAGCGGTAATATGGATCATCGGATTCAAGGTTAAAGGGGGGGGGGATTGCATTTTAGAGCCTTAAAAGATAGAGGTAGCAGCGCCATGTCATCAACTCAAGGAGCAAATTAAGAAATATAAGAAAATGAAATAATGAAAAATTGTTCAATGCTTCCCTACTTAAGGTCGTTGAGTAATGAACCCCTAATTCTTCGGCAATGAAAACGGGTCCAGCTGTCGGCTAACAATATGAGAACTCGCCTGACTGGTCAAGAATTGGAGGGAAACGTATTGAATACGCCATAAAGTAATTGAAATCGGCCTTGTGCAATGATAGGATGTAACAGAGCAAGGTGATTTTTGATTACTCAATAATCCAACCCTCATTAACCTACCCGGTAATTAGTGGGTGGAGGGAATCTCCAACCAAATAAATGTCAAATTATAAAATGGATACTGTGTTATGAATTATTGATATAATATTGTTCGTCCAAGACCCGGTGGCGTTTCTGGAAATCTTGTTTCCGCACTGCTGGTCAACTTTTGGGGTGTATTCATGCAAGGGGTTTAAATTTCCGCTTTGTTGCCCGTGGCTTAAGTTTTTAAGAAACATCATCATCAAAACAGTTTACATCAGTGGCGTAAGACAAGGTTATTATTATTTCACTGCATAACACGAACCCAATCAACGCATCATTAACGGTGAAACTTAGACCCAGAAGTTCGTTCCAAATCATGAATTTTCACTGATGAATCCGACTGAAATTTCATTTATTTGCAATTAAATTTTTCATCAAAGTGATTCTAACGGAGTTTTTTGTTTTTTGGAGATCACATTCTTCCGTATATTTTTACAGCATTTATAAAAGTTATACCGTAAAGCTGTTTACAGACAGTACTGTTGTTCAGATTTTGACGACATCCGAATAAAAGTATTAATGTACAATTCTCATAGTCTCAAACCAAGGCCGAATTGTATGATCTAGCAAGAGATGCATTTATATTTAGACCGATGCTTGAGACGATGGTACAATCTCCACTTTCAATATTCCTTACTGAAAAAGTATACAGGACAGAGAACTCCCTAATAAACTACTCTTTCGAATTCCAATGATCAATGCTTTACAAAATTTCTTCTCGAATTTCAAAACACGAATTCTTCTTACAAGTTGTCAACACTCCAAACCCGTTGCTGCATTTTCCACTAATTCAAATTTATAGAAAATTTTATTTTCCTTTTCTGTATTTTTTTTTTTTTTTGGGGGGGGGGAGGTCACGATTTTGCTTGCTTGCGTATTATAATAGTTTTGTGTGTTTACCTATTATCATAGTTTTGTAAACACATATAGATATATACGGATACAGAAATACTTTGGTGTTCTTCCAAATACTTCATAATCTGTTATACAGTTACGATAAAAAGATTGTTTCAAATGCTCTTTGCCAATCCTATTCAAGTGTAATTTGTGTTTTTGGAGAATTGAAACCAAAATACTAGTAGATTTTATTAAAAGATTTTAAAAAATGAAAATTCTTTCACGTTTGCAATAAATATTCTCCGAGATTTTTAAAAGGTAAAAAGTAGTCAGTTTATATTTTTGAAACACACACACCCTTTCACCCTCGTGCATTTCCGAACCAATGCATGATGTGGAAACTTAACACCTAAGCCATCGTCGCAAACCACAGCCAAAATATACGATCATCTTCCATTAGCTATAAGCGGACTCCGAAAAAGTTGAAGCATATACACATGGAATATAAGTGAAGCTGTGAAAATTAAGTTTTAAAAAATAAAAATAATAAAATATTAATCTTTAGTTTTCCTGTTTGGTCTTGTATTTATATCGCTAGTGCAGAATACTGTATTATAGTTCTCCACTAAAACAGCTGGTACAAATTGATTTTTTTTTTACCTGTTTGAGGCGTTTTCTCCATAAAATCGTTCCTTTCTTTTTTTAACCTTGAAATAATATTGATAAGTGTGTAAATATTTTTGCAATATTAGCATGTGAAAAACTTATTGCAGTTTTATTTACATAGGATCGATACTATTAGAGAACAATGACAAAAATCGCATTTTAAAAGTTGGGGACTTCAAAAGTTGTTTACTTGTAAAGTAGATGCATCTATTATAAACAACTTTAATAAATGATTTTACTTGTTTCGCGAAAGCTAGGGGACTTTAAATTTCATTTGTTTGTCCGTCCGTCTGTTTACGAGTCTGTCCCCCTGTCATATATGACCTAAATAATGATTGACATTTCATCCAGAAAGACACCGAGAGCGGGGGGCCACAATTCTTTGAATTTGCTTGTTAAATTTCATTTTCCTACATTTATCCTTTAGAAAAAAAACACAAATTGTATTTCGTGTATGCTTTACGTCTTAGTATATAGCAATGAGCAATGAGTTGTTTGTGTTATTAGAGGGGATAGGTTTAAGCCAACTATTAATTTTTTTATTCAGATATAAATTAATTCTATTCAGTTTACCCCGATTCTTTTTTGATACAGGAAGTTTCTGACCTTGACTTTTTGTTTTAAAAATCTTAAAAATTGGTTCAATCTCACTACACACCTTATATGAACAAGCACTCCATGTTTGAATAAAGTAAAAGCCCAGCT